CGATAATTACACGAAAAAAAAAAAAGTATGTTTGTTGGGCGATGTGGGGGGTGCGAGAATTGCGCGAGTAAATACGGTAGTTCCGGCAACCAGTGGTATATTCGTGTAAGAGATAAACATGAGAATAAATGCAGTTGAGGGTGTCAGAGGAGCAGAGTTTAAAATTCAGGCACATCAAAGTAAAAAGTAGGCTCTGTTCAGGGCCGGAGACAAGGTTTACTTGCAATAATGAAATGAAAGATCCATGCCTTCATTACCCGATTTTATTGATAACCTCTGCTGGTGTCATCGCACTCATCGGCAGGCACTGATGCTTCATCGGCATTCAGTCCTGTGTTGCTATTCCAACAAGTGCAACAGCGAATCCTCCTTTGCAACGTTGGGCCTGATCAATATTCAGGCCTTACTACAAAATTGGAGGTACACAGTGCCATTCTACTAGGCAGGCCACTTTGAAACTGCTGTTTTGAAACCTGGGCCAGTAGCTACACTCGCAAACCTTTTATTTTCCTGAAAGCACATTTTCTCTGAAAGGGTATTGTTTAACACCATTCTCTGAAAATTTGAACACGCCCGTTCGGGCACCTTCACAGTGCCGCCACTCATCCTGTTGAAGTCGTCTAAACTTTCGCCTGAAAATTGGGTGCAGCGTTGAAGCATTGTGGTACGGCATTGAACACCATGACCTGCTGTCTGCGATGTTACACTGTAGCAATATTTTTTCAGTATTGTCGCTATGTCGCCAGCACTGAAACGTGGCACAGTTGCACTGGCTGAGGCTAGAGATCGTGCAAATGTAAACATCAATGCAGAAATTACAATTGCTGATTTTAAAGGCTGTGTGTTTTGGCTGCACGGAATAGCCGTTTTTTGGTTTTAGCCAGTCAAATATTACATTGAATGGCTACCATGGCCCAACTGCAAGCCAAACTAAGCCACACGCTGAGTTATCTCTGTGTGATGTTCGAAATGGCCATGAGCACTGCTGCACGAATAATCCTGACATCGTTCCCTTCTGGCGTTTGAGAGTTGGCTCGTCAGCCATTTCTGTGGCAAGGCTTGATCAGTGTCTCGTTCTCTTGTTAGTTGCTTGACATGCGAAGCTTGATCTACTGATATGGTTCCGACTCCTTCCATTCCATCTGCTCCGTTGGCACTGATGAAAGAACGCAGCAAATGCTAAACACTGAAAATCGCAAGAAAAAAACAATTATTCTCTAAATTGGAGGGGGTGATCTCAATTCGATGTTGCTCTGGAGTTTTTGCCAAGTTGGACATTGATGGTATTGTCTGTCACGTTCTCGAACCAGCGCAGCTGAACAGCCACTCCGATGAAGTGCCGCCAACACCATTAATATCAAATGTTATGACCTGCGCTGAATGTGCTGGTCATCTGTGACATGTTTGGGTACAGACGTTTGTGACATGTATTATCCGGCCAGAGGGTAGTGAAGACGCTTTTCTGGTGAACCTTTTTCTTTTCCGTACTTTTCTGCGGTTCCGGCAGAGTCCTAATAAACAGTCGGCGACTGTATTCTCATTTTGCAATACTCATAGTTGTAATGTCATAAATTGCCTCATTTTGCCTTTCTTTGTACAGGAATTCAGTGTCAACTTAGCGGAAAATGTGAGAGAAATCTACAGTCGCCGAGCGATTTTCGGGACCTGGGACCACGAAATAGAAAATTTGAACCGTCCAAAAAATGATCAGGCCATGAAAATGAAGTTTATTCGAATTAGAAAAGCGAAAAAAACGTTCCCAATAATTCGCCTGCGACGTATATGCCTTACTTCTACCGTATAAACCGGACTATAGGTTGAGTGGGAATATAGGTCGACCCCCAAGTTCAGGTTACCGAAAAAATAAAATAAAAGGAAAATAACCCAAAACTGCCGAACCAAATTTATTTGCGAATTGGGCACACCGCACCCCGATCGTCGGAGCTCCCCTCAACCACCATCGCAACTGCCCTTATTCGTCCGACGAAGCAAAACTGTCTTCTGAAGACGAGAGTTTGTCGCTGGCCGCCTCCCACAGTGCGTCGTCTTCAGTGCCATCCAGCGAGTTAGTTGCTGATGCAACATTTCGTGAAAGCATTTTCCACCATGGAATCTGGCTAGGAGCGCAAGGCGGAAAACACCCAGCCACAAGCAGTCGCAAGCGGAGGCCTCTGTAGGCGGCCCGTTGGGTGTCTTGGGGTTGTCGCCGGACATCCACTCTTGGTATTCCAGCCGCACTCGGTCCTTGAACGGCTTGTTTAGCAGAACGTCGAGCAGCGGGAGGGCGGACGTCATACCACCTGGTATCACGGCGAGGTCTGTTTTCCCGTCGCCGAGTGTGCGTTTCACTGCGTCGGTTAAGTGGCCACGAAACGCATCCAACACCAGCATGCTGCGAAGACGCAGCAGTGCACCTGGCCGACGGTTCCACACCACTCGTATACATTCGAGCATCATGGCCTCGTCCATGTATCCCTTTTTGTTGACAAGAACGACAACACCGGGCGGGAACACTTCCTTTGGCATTGTCTTGCGTTTGAAAATGACGAAGGGCGGAAGCTTTCAACCATCTGTCGTGCATGCCAGCATGATGGTGAAGCGCGAGTGCTCGTTGCCAGTGGACAACAGCTTCACATCCTTGGCGCCACGCTGCGTGATTGTGGTCGACGAAGGCATGTCAAACCACAAGGGGGTCTCATCGGCGTTACCAATCTGCCCCATCATGTAGTCGTTCTGCTCCCGAAGCCGGTTCACAAAGCGCTGAAAGTTTATGAGCTTGTCCTCGAACTTTTCCGGCAACTTTTGACAGATGGATGTGCGCCGCCAGAGAGAAAACATTTTGTGTCGCATAAATCGACGCACCCTAGAGTTCGGGGCACGAAACTCTTCTTTCATGAACCCAGCTTCTTGAGCGAGTTCCAAGGTTTTCTTGCGAACGGTCACTGGCAGCGAGCGCGCACGAACTTCCCGCACAAAGTCCGCTAGCTTATCCTCCAGCTGCGGATGAACGGCACTTCGTCCATGAAACGACTTTTTTGCACCTCTGCAGCTTCCCTTTCTGCGCCCTCCAATAGCGCACGCTTTTTTCCGATACACCAAAGCGGCGCTGAGCAGCCATATTCCCGTTCGCTTCTGCGAACTCAACAACATCTAGTTTAAACGCAGCTTAGTACTGCTCCTCGCACCGCTAGGCATATTCAGTGAACGGGGAAAAAAAAAAGGCCACTAAAAATGCAGCGCAATATCAAGCGGAGCGAAAACTCAAAACAGATTGGAAGCAAATCACAAACACAAAGAAAACAGACGGAGGGAAAAAAAAGACTGCGATTGGATTTGGATGCGGATATGGCCGCGTCCGGCTTCACAAGCACATGCAAGTTACATGTTGCCAGACAGCGTCGCACTTTCGGCTAGACACTGCTATATAAAACGAGGGGTGACTTTAGCTTATTATTTTATTGAAAATATCTCAACTTATATTCGTGTTTATACGGTAGTTATGGTGCACTAGTGGTGTTGAGATACAGGCAAGTGAACAAGTGGCGGTACATGCCTTGCCCCTCTTTGGTGTATCCGTGAGGCATGGTGGAAAGAAACGATCAGTACTAGAAAATTTGCCATCCGAACATTGTTCTTGCTTTCACAGTGGACATGCCTGTGTGTGTTCTATTTTTCCACATGATAGATGCATCTTTGCTGCACAGTTTTAGAGTGCCCAGTCTCAGTTCCGATTTCAGAGAGCACAAAGCCAGGCAGGAGCATTTCCGGTGGCTAGATAAGCACAGCTGGCCATGTGACTAGGCTTTGTTTGCCCTTGATATTTTATAATATTCTGTGTGTCTGTATAAATTTATCTCACTCATTATCTTGCCCTGAAAATTTTGCGTTTCTTTGACTTGGGTGGTAGTGGCTATGGTGTTCTACTGTTGCGAGTGCAAGGTCTGGGGCCTCATTCATGGTTCGGTGTGACGAACAAAAATGTTTTTAACTGTGAAGCTGTGTTAAGCTCGCTGTAATTTGTCTGTCAGATACAAAAACGAACAGAAACTAAAGAAAAGCCTTGAAAAACCTGTATTTTTACTATTAATTCTCCGCAAAACATCTCCCTCTATCCCAATCTCCCTCTCCAAGCTATGAGCCTGGGTTCAAATCAAACTTTTCACGATGAAGATTACAGAAGGGTTTTTTTTTTTTTTTTTTTTTTTTGAAACATACTGTGAGCAAACCTGTGTAAGAAGTTGCAAGGGGGTAATGACAAAAGATTTTCATTTGTTTTCTTGCGTCGAAGGAATGGCAAAGCCGTCAGAACCTTGGAAAGTGTTGGTGTGTGTGTCACCTGAAAAATTGACATGTTTTTCAGAGCTAATTTTGGTTCCAAGTGTACCCTGACATAGTGACCCCGAGTTACTGTCATGTGCGGTCTGCTCGATGCGCAATTTCCATGGCTCCATTTGTGACCAACAAGCGACCATTTTGGTCTCCAGAATCGACACTTGCTTGATGTCGCACTACTTAGTGTGAATGTCAATGGGTGCATGTACAAGAATTGCCCTTTGTGTCAAAATGAGAATTTCAGGTTTTGCATAGGTGTACACTTGCTTAGAGCAGTCCCTTTATACTAAAGATTTTTATGGTTGAGTAAGGTCGCATAAAGAAGATTAATACGGTGGAGTCGTCAACTTTGAGAATTGATGTTGGTACTCCTTTGAGGCTAAATGGTGAAACGAACCTTCATGTTCTAGAAGCATCATAGGACTGCATTTTGTGAAATTGAGTATCCTGTGGACACGGGTTCTGTCATGGGCCTTGTAAAGTGGTAGCAGGCTTTTCGGGCCTTGTAAAGTGGTAGCAGGCTGTTTCTTGTAACAGTAATGTTGTATAACAGATGACTGCTGCATGTTTGCTTGTTATTGCCTGGCATTATTTTTCAACTATATATCTTCCCTACTGAAGAACTCTGAAGGAGCAACTAATCTTGTGGTACCTTTTTTTATTTGCAGTACGATGGCATCATCTTGCCTGGAAAGAGCGGCAAATAGACCTGCTGTTCACAACATTTGATCCTTCACAAATAAAAAGAAAGCTCATGGTGTATGTTTTTTTTTTTTCATACATATACAAAATGCGATGTTTTGTAATAAAACAGGACCATGCATACTTTTGCATTGCAAGAAACTAGCATACAATAAAATTTCGAATCAGTTGTTTCGAAATGTAGCATGGCTTGTCTGAACACTTGCAAATTCATTTCATACGACCTGAAATGAGATAGCTTTGTGATAAAATTCTTGGGAATTAGTGGCAAAAATGAAGCATTTATTACAAAAGAAAAACAGTAAGCTAGTGGCTTACTATGAAGAAGTTAACTGAAAATATTCTAATTTTAGTGGTGCTTACGTGGGTATAATATCTATGCAGTGGAGTCTTGATACACCGTTAACAGGAAATGAAAAATAAACCTAAAAAAAGGGTTATTAACGATGAGGTTATAAGTAGGAAGATATGCTTACCCACTCAACTCACTTTCGCTTCGTAACATTGAAGAGGTAAATCTGTGCTTTGCTTTACGATGTGGGATTGAATTCCTCTTGTAAAAAAAAATGCTAGTACACTGAATATCAAGTGTAGCATTTTTAGATATATTGGTCAAGATCCTTCTTCGTGGTAATGTCCGAGTATGTGAAAAAAATGTGACGCCTGTTGACTGCTTCAAAACTCATCTGTTCTAAGAAACGGTCGAGAAAATAGAACGTAAAATCGTATCGAGGTTGCACTGCGTTCAGTTTTTGCTCCAGATAGAGCGACTTGCATTTGTTTTGTATAAACATGCAGCACTTGCTGGTGGAACTTCATCGGGTATTCCAGTGCACAGTACTAATTCGATACTATGAGATTGAGTGGTTCTGTGTTTCACGTGAATTTGAGGGAACTAGGCAGGAGAGAGGTTAACTAAAAGTAGCCAGAGGGTTGCAAACTGGGCACTGTCATAAGACACATCAAGAGAATGAAAGCGCAATCAATTTCATTTTCAAGTTTCGCCGAAATCTCCGCACTTGACGTCATGGATTTCAATATGTATTCGTCATGCTGCTCCGCCGGTTCAGCGGAATTTTTGGAAAATTCGTCTGCCAAGTCTGCACTGGCTCTTGTGGGGCGCAAGTATCTATGAGCGCGAGGCCCACCACTGGAGTCGCGGGCGCGGCAATCGCTGTGACGTGCAGGGTTGCATCAATTGATCTCGCATTGTTTTAAACCGCAATTTCGTGGTGGTGTTCCCTTTTGAACAGCGCTGCTTTAACGCGATAGCGTTAAAAGAGCTTGTGTTGCAGAAAACCCGCCGCCGGTTGTTGGTTGTGAGCGAAAAAGCGTTTCTGACCGAAAAATCAAGTTACCGAGATAGCCGCGGGAGGCCGCTACTTGTCCATTCGTGCGCGCGCGATCACACTGAAAAAGCCGCGCGTTCGAATAAAAAAAAAAGGTGCTGAAGGTCACGAGGCGTGGTAGTTTTTTTGCCTTGCCACCCCTCCCTGCTTAGTTTCCAACGCTTTCGTCGGGACGAGAGAACAGATAATGCAATTGCAGCATGCGACAAACCTTTGTAACTCCACTCGCACTGCACGGATTCTTAAAATTTTTGCGGCGTTGAATTTGTGAGGCAATAAGCTCTTCTAGTGAATTCATTCCATGATTACTTGAAAAAGTGTTTCAGGGCCCCTTTAACGCATTCTGTTCAGGTGTCGCGACAAAAACGAGCCCATTCGGCGATAATAGCGCGCGCTGGTCCAATCTGCTGTGCGTGCGTGTGTATGTAAGAAAACATTAATCAGTATGCACTTAGCGGTTGAAGGGTGCACTAGGGGCTGGATCTTGCTATCGCGTTCAAATTGGGGGACTCTTAATCAAAGGGCCCCCAATTTTTTTTTTTGCTCTCACTTCATACGTGAGAACTGCTGGAGACTGCACAATCCGGAAAAGTTATCGGCGGCGTGCCACACCCTACGTACGCGAAGAAGCCAGGTTAGTCAGGTGTCTACTTTTAGGTTTTATCTCTACCCTGATTTTTTTCTTTTACGATTTTTTTTTGCTTTTCGGCCTGGCATACATGCTGTAAACACTGGTATATTTACTAAAACGTGATATTGCCGTTTAGATCACGGTTAAGCAAGACAGAGCGGCATGCTCGCAAAGTAATGCAGCCGGCTGACATACGGTATATTAGCTGTCATCGAGCCCGGTCGAGACCGAATGTTTATGTCGTGATTGACCATTTGTAGAAGCTGCAAAACCGAGCCAATTATCCAAAAATATTCACCACTGTGTGGCTAGATTTCGATTTAATGTGCGCTGTGTGAAAGCCGCAAAATGTTTGCTCGTTAAGGGACAACATATAAGTATTAGTATCGTTCCGCAGAGAAGCTTTGCTCACGTGAAACTTTACTATAGTTGAGAAACTGTAAATCTTTGCGGATGCTGGGTTGCTTCCCACAAAGCGCGGAATCCGCTTGCGCTGGGCTTCATAGGGATATGTGTGCAAAATAGGAATGTGAATTTGCACATGCTCTTCGTGTCAGCCACGGCTCCGCCTTCAGATGCCGCAAGCTCGCATTAAAGGGACGCTGGAGTCAAATAGCAATTTACGTCAGAGTGAAAGCTCAATGTATGACAACGTCTACAACGACAGTATTATCAACAGTAGTGTCCTGCTTACCGAGAAATTAAGGTAAATGCTTGATAACACATGCGCTACCGTAGGATACTCGCAAAATGATCCCGATGACGTCAGAGATACCTCCTTCAATTAATCACTAGTAATCGAACTAGCTGTACTACATAAACAACCTTCCCTTCATCAAGAGACGTAATAAAACGCTGCTTCGTTTCCGTTTGATTCATCGAAAAAATAACCGCCGGGCGTTACTATAGAGAATGGGGCGAGTGGTCTACAAGTTCAATTGTCGCCTGGTTAAATTGGACAGGTCGTGCCATCTAGCGGGGTGCAGTTGAACCAATAACGTCTGTCATCTAGGAGCAAATGACAGTAAATTGTTGTATTGGTTTAATTGCCGTTGTTGCTGCTGTGGCTCCCGCTGCTTTCGTTCTGTTGCTACTAGTGTCGGCGGCCCCGCAGTCACAGCACATCTGTTGGTGTTATGAACCACGTGCGCAGAAACCTCTACTTCCCTTTTCTTCTGCTCACAGTAAGATAGTTAAGCGAGGCATAGCACGAACCTGCCTTGAGAATGCTTTAAATAGGTCGTGCGCCCACAATATCTCTGCGAGCTTCAAAGCTCAAGTTTCCCGCCTTAAGGCTTCAGGTTTCCCCGAGGCGTTTATCGCGTCTGTTGCGGAGACGATCCTGCGGACTAATAAGGCAGAGCAGAGGACGCGACAGAATCTGAGCAACACGGATACAGAACGTGAAAGGATAGCCGTGATTCCATACATACACCAGATATCACATAGGCTCAAAAAAAATCGGAAAACGTGTTGGAGTTCGTGTCCTGTTCTCGGCACCGTTCAAATTAATCAGCCTCACCAAATCTACCAACCCCCTGAAAACGAAATCATCAACAGAATGCAGAGTTCAACATCGAAACAGGTATGCGGCCTGCTCCCGGGAAGTCGTCTATAGGACCCCCCTTTCATGTGGTGCTGGTTATGTCGGAACGACCGGAAGGTGTCTGAACGATCGGCTGAGGGAGCACGCGAACAATGTTAGAAACGGGAAAGATGGTTTTCTTGCCCAGCACTGCACTGAGTGCAATTGTGTTCCCCTCTTCGAGGACACAGCGACGTTGTACAAACACAGAGATGTAAGCACTCGGGTCATTGTCGAGGCTGCGCAGATGGCACGCGAACAGGTGCCTTGTATTAGCAAGCCCTCCGTGGCTTTGTCCGAGAAGGAACGCAGGTTCCTCGAAGGATTCGGTGCGGGCAGGTACTTATTTTATCTTTACCTTTCTGTTTCGTTTTCTTCTAGGTTTTTTCTTTGCTGTTTTTCAGTGTCTTTGTATTTGTGTTGCTTGTTTTTGGTTTTCTTACTCATGTTCTGCTCTTGTGCCATATGGTTTTTATCACATGGTCACTGTCTGCTCTATATATTTTCGTGCTCTGCGCAATAAACTCTGTTGGAAGTTAGCGCTCGTGTCTTTCGTGTCCTTCTTGTCTCTGTGTCGTCGTTTTGTTCTCGCGCTATAACTATCGTCGCGCAGTAAAGCCGGGCAACGTTGTGCTCGGCAACAGTGACGTGAGAGACGTTTCGCGTGGGCGGGTAATTTGAAGGGCGTTAACCCGATGCGGACCACTAAAACGTGATTTTCTTTAATAATAAGCACTTCCTTGGCACAAAAGCAACACTACGAGGTTTTTTTTCAACAATCAACATTGGCTTAACAGCTGCCTTTAGTGTCATTTAATGCCCATTTGATGATTCAATTCCACGCAGAATGACTCGTTACCCCTTACAAAAGTAACGTAATCGGCCCCTTTGGCTTTAACATAGATGGTCATAACAGAGGACGCCGGCTGTAAGTTATTATGAGAAGCGTAACAATTTTTCGGAGCAGTTATTTAGCATTTCATACATTCGCGGAGAAGTCGCAGCAGTACCTTTACTGATTTTGTTGAAGTGAAATACAAGAACAATAATAATAAAAGGAGAAGCGAAAGCGCCTGCGGGCTCTGCGCTAGAGGGCTGGCGGAGCAATGTGACCTTGCACGTCACAGGGATGCTTCCGCATGGTGGCGCCTCGGACAAAATCGGTGACGTCGTATGATTGGCGCGAGAACTCTCGAGGTACTCCGCAGAAGTGGTCTCGTGGTATGGCGTATGGTTCCTGGCATATACTGGGGCCACGATAATTCGATCACTGTTGTTTAGTTTCCTTACATACATAGGTTCGGTTATGCCAGTTAAACCCCACACCAAAGTTATCTTGGAAAAGACAGTTTTCGATTTTTTGGGGGGTCGTGCCTCTCATTTTGTGTCGCGCCCCGTGTTGAAGTTGCGTAGGGACGAAGGAGGACTAGGTATACCCGACCTTAGCGTTGTGACCACGGCATTACATGTTAAATGGACACGGGTAGCTCTTGATTCAGATATGCTCCTTACTAGAAGCTTCGCGTCGTATTTCCTGAACACCAGGCTGAGGTTGTTCTCGCCTGGGGCATTTTCGAATTCCGTGCCTCGGGCGGGAACGCCTTTTGCCTTCTA